TCATCTTCAATTATGTGAAAATGTGAGTAATTCTGGGGCTCCGATATTCTGTCATACTTGACATAGTTCTTAGATTTCATTCATTATGATATATTTAGGAGGAACAGGTTTCAGTCAGTACCCTATCATCTGTGCTTACTTCTGCTCCCTGCTGCTCTGCATGCCTGATGTCCTTTATTGTTCTGTCTCTTGCAGGGATTTTCTAATAAATTAAATCCCGCAGAGCAAATCAGATCATTGGCAAAGTGTGTTGTATCGGAACATGGTTTAATCTGGATTTACTCTGTGAAATCAGAACCAGTTTTGGCTTGAGTTTGGACATATACATAACATGTATGTAAAAGTGTGTGTGTGTGTGTGTGTTGAACCCTCGACTCCTCTATCACTGGATGTAATCAGATTACTGTGGATTATACGCTGACTATTAGAGTCTCAACTAAGTCTTGATAGAACACACATACACATTCACTTACGAACAGATAAGTGTGCGTGTTACCGGACTGACGCACTAATGCATGTGAGCTCTCAAACCCCCACATACACAAATATGAGCTGACACACACACACACACACGCTTTGGTGTGATCTGTCAGGGGCTTAAAGTCCATCCCATTATCAGCGAAGCAGGTGTGAGACCTTTAATGGACCCTGCAGAGATCGTTCGTCAGGTCTGACAGTTGCTTTTAATACAAAAAACGTAATGATATAACCCAAACATCTTAAATGTGGTGTTGAGCAGGAGTAAACAGAAACTGTTCTGCTGTAAAAGGGGCAACAAGCAGATTTGCTCTCCAAGTCGTTGTGGCAGCCTCAGTGTGTGTTGATCGCTAGAAGACATCAGGTGCTTGTCACATTGAGACCGTGATCATGACTTGTCAGGTGTCATTGTCATTTTGCGTCATGCTGCAAAAACAGCCCACAAAACTGTGTGTGTTTTGTTTTTTTACCAATATAAATTCTTTATCTCTCCGTCAGATGCTGAATGCTGTCGTACAAGAACCACCAACAAAATACAGAGACAAACTCACTGCAGGAAAATGTTCACACAGGAGAGTTGGGAGGTGGCTCAAACCATGAAAACAAAAAAGCAAGAACCACCACAGATAGAATTTTTTTTTTAAACAAAATAAAAAGCAGCTACAACTTAAGGAATATCAAAAGACAATATCAAGCCATCTTCAGACATGAACACTTGAAAATGTCCACACAATGGGGTCTGGAGTTTGCCTTTCACCTGTTATGAACGCAGCAGGAGATTCTCTGTGTCAGACAAACTGACAACAACAGAAAAAATGTCTTTTGTCATTGTCTCTTAAAGTTGACGACTTCATCAGTGGCTTCTACGGGCTCCTCTGTTTCCTCCTGATATGTTTGCATTCTTTTGTTTTGCATCAAAGATTGCACATATATAGTATATAATATTTTCAGACAGGGTGGAAATATATTTTTATTTCTACACAAAAAGAAAAAAATGTTGCAGTACAATTGCTCAAAACGATATTTTTGTCTGTTATTAATACACTGGCTGTAGCAAGTAGGCCTGTGTGCGTGCGTGTGTGTGTGTGTGTGTGTGTGTGTGTGTGAGAGCACTTTAATCATGTTTGTGTTCTAGAGGAGAAGCAGATAACAGGCTGAAGCCATTTTCAACAAGAGGTTTTTAAATCCATTCGAGTGATGTGATTCATAAAAATAGCTCTGCCAGCATCTCCACATTTCAATCAGCAACAAGTCGTTTTCACAACGACCAGTTATTGATAAATCACACAGACGGTTCCTTAAAGCACTGCGTTGTTCTCATCGTCTCTTAAAGCCTTCTGTCCTGGTGCGATTTGTGATATCATATCCATAAATCACAGGACGTGCGGATCAGAAGTGGGCAGCACAGACGCAGCTGCACTTTGTTTCCTATCACTTTTCTCCGGGCGACTTTTCTTTCATTTAATTTTTTCATTGTACTGCCCCCCCCCCCCAATAATGTGAGGGGATATAGTGATCAGGATGTCTGTCCGCTTGACTGTGTGTCCAAACATCCATCTGTGTGTCTGTTATCAATCTGTAGAACTCCATTAGGTATTCTTTCATGAATATTTAATCAGGAAGTGAAGTGGAGCCCTTTGATATTTTGAGTTTCTTTAGTGACCATTAAAATCCTGAGAGCATCTTCAGGTTGTAGGTTAGGAAGATTATCAATTTATGTAAAGCATGCCCTGATGTCTTTATGTGATTATTGTTATTAGGCCTGTGCAATAAAACAATATAAATAATATTAGAATAAAATTTTTATCAATAGCAATATAATAAAATTTCATGTAATTATCACATTATTTTTTCTTATAAGTTCAAAGCTTTTTATATAGTCTGTGGTTCAAAGACAGATTTCGCTCCTGATTGAAGCCAGTGGGTTTAAACTCTCTGAACAGAGAATGATTTGATTATTGTTGAAAATTATATTGCGATAATTATTGATCCTGTTTTATTTCCCAGCCCTAATGTTGTGTGCTTTATAACAGTCAGCCAGTGTTTACCCGTAACAGGAAATATTACCACTTGTAATTGTTATAGCACTAGGTTATCTGCTCTGGTACGTTTTGTAGCTGCTGTGAAGATCTCCTGATGACTCTTGTTATTTTAAATCTCACTTTTGTCTATTTCTTGGTTTTCACTGTTGAACTCCTTTTATCTCACATACCATCATTTATTTTCCTCTCTCAACTGTTTATTTATTATTTTTTCAGAAAAAGGGAAAATGAATTTCTGCAGTTGCAATTGAAAGTGGAACCCAACGCTCTTGCAGCCATTTGGCACAGTGAAGCACAGCAGGGAAAATTACTTGTTGATCTGTTCCCAGCACTGGCTCATCATGAGTGTGATTAGGGTGTAGAAGCAAAACGACTGGCATGGGACTGCAAATAGTTTTTTGTTCTCTAATGGAATTAAACACATGAACATTTTAACATAGCAAATGTTGTATTTTCTTGTGCAGCCAATAGAAGGGAAGGTGGTGCGTCTCCAAGAGGAAGCTCATACTCAACAGTCAGAAGCAAACTAGTGGCTTGTTTGTTTTAGTTTCTTGTTCAGCCAATGTTTATTTTGAAGATTTCACTTCCTGTAAATGGATTGTCACTTGAGAACAGCTGCTCAAACTATGAAATCTGTCTAAGCCTTTTGGTAAACTGTCAGCAGGTCGGAGGTGAATAGAGCTGTTGTGATGGAAGTAACTGCAGGTGACATGAGTGTCAGTATATGTCTTTCTGCTAGTCAATCGACAGGGGGGGGTTGGACACGACCTAATGAAGAACTCAATTTTATTTAGGAGCAGATCCAGATAAACTTTTTTTTCACTGTCTTCAACATGCTGAGATACAGCAGTGCATAAACCTTGGTGGAGGTATGTTCTCTCTGAGCAACCTTTTTATTTCCTCCGTTATAATAAGTTATTATTCACCCCTGCCTGTTTGCAAGATTGCGCAAAAACGACGAAACGGATTTCCCCAAAACTTGGTGCAGGGTTCAGTTTGGGTCAGGGAAGAACCCATTACATTTTTGTGCAGATCCAGTTTTTTTCCCCTCTTTTTTTAAGCATTGTGAGTTAGGATGATTTTCAACATTTCACTATTTTTCTAAGAGAATGATTCATGAATCTTGTAACATTCAGTGACACTACCACTGACAGTGAAAACACATGGAGAAAGTTTATAATCTCATTTTTGAGCTGTGACAGACTTTGTAAACAAGTTAAAGCATTTCAGTTTGAAGAGTTGACTTTAGAATGTCTGCTATAGAACCTTTTCTACAGAAATGCCAGAAGAAGCGAAAGTCCGATGTAGAGTTTTATTTTACCCTGAAATATGTCCTGTTTTCCCCCCTGAATCTGTCAAACTGCATCTCCGCAGCGAATATACTGTCGGCTTTAGTTTCCATCCCACATCGAGCATCTGCTAAATTGGAAATTTGTATTTCTTCTGAATCCTTGCAATCACCGTCAGACTGTGCACGCTCTCAGCTGTCATCAACACTTATAGAAATGTATTTTATGTAGGATTTTCTTAAGAGTAGTCGTGGGTGTTAGAGAACATAATCTTATTTCAGTCACTGGAAAATAGGTGTAGTTTTATAACACAATGACACGGCATCCTTAGCAGATGAACGGAAACGTTGGCATGTAGAGGAAAGAGAAAACAAGAGCAGTTATTTTGCTGCTAGAAAGGCAGCGACAAAAAAGCATTAAAAATAGTGTGAAAATCCTTTTTCTCCCCTCTACACCGTTTCTCCATTGTAGAAATGAACTGTTAAATACTGTTTATGTTGGTCTCAAACTGTTGCCTGTTGTGCTGAGACAGTAACAAAAACAGATCAATAAAGCCTTTAGAAAAAGCTGAAGGTGAAAGGGACCTACGGAGCAAACGAGAGAGCTGAACAATAGTTTTCTGAAGTCAAGGGCAGCGGTCTGCACAGAGAGGGACGGGCACTTATTGCTGTGACTCACAGTGTATTGATTCAGTGGGTTTTTATAGTGATATAGATGAACACAAGCAGGAATGGCTTGGTCAAATGTCCATCTGGGTAAATGGTGAAAGCATTGCTGTGCTACTGTCAGGATGGAGTGACTGAATGAAGGAGATAATGAGTGGAAGGGAGGAAAGGAACAGATGAGTGAATGGATGAATGACCTGGTTGAAATGTCTGCATCACTAAGCACATCAAGGAAGAAGCCAATCCAATTTTGGTTTGGATCCTGGAACTTTTTTCACTTTAACATTGTAAGACAGGACAATTTAATTTTCTTTGTTGTTTTTTAAACTTTTTCCCAGGGAATAATTCATGAATCTGTTGCAGCTTGATTGAATTTAAAGGGACTGTTGAGCCTTGATGGGGGTACGTGCCCTTTTTAGTGCCATTCTAGATGCGCTCTATTTAGAATCTTCAAGAATAAGGTGTATATCTAGCTGCTCTACTCTGTGAATACCATGCTAATGCGTGTGTCTCATGTTTTCTTTCAGGATGATTGGGGCTCCAGTGACTCATCTAGTAAAAGCAAAACTCACAGCTCTGACGATAAGACTCATGGTCTGGAGACCCTGCCACCAGGTAGGAAACTTCACTTCTCATCTTGCAGCACCACCAGCACACACCACCTAAGCATGAGATGGATAATATAGCAAATATTTGAGTCTATGAGTGATATACATAACCAGGATATATGTTCCGGATCTCTGGGTTCAGTGTGTCATTGTTTGTGATTGTGATCGTAATGAAGGGAATGACAAATACACCCAGCTGTGAGGCATGTGTATGCACAGACATGGTACACCACAATCATGTATCCAGAGGGTTTCCCACATCATATTCCCAAACCGAAACCATTTCCTATTTCAAATGTGGTAACACTGTGACATAGCTTTGGTTTTATTATCAGAAGAGCATGAACATCCTCAACTTCACCATGTTCAGATAACCACAAGACTGTACAGCCATCAGTGTGACACAAATGTCACATCCACTCATGTATCCAGAATAATTCAAGGATCCATTTTAATCCTTCCACAAACCCAACTATGCGTCTCCACCCTGACTTTGAGAGACATTGTTTTAGAGTCCAGCAGGGCAGAGAAGTCAGAGTAGAGAGAGCAAATTTGAGCAGCAATTTTTCATTCAGCGCTCGTCCTCAACTCAACTCACGGCAGCCGCTGCCCCTCCTTCACAAGCCCAGGGCCTGCGAACGCTGAACACACACTCTCTTATCTGATCCAGCAGTAGAAATGGAATCCACTTTGAATGGTGAAGTAGGAACTATTTCAACTTCAGGGTGACTTTATACTTAATTATGGCAGCATATCGTGTCACCCACAACAACCAACAACACACACCCACAAACTCAGAAAGACGAAGAGGAAAAAAGGTGAAAAAGAAAGAGAGGAAAGAGGAGATGGAGAAGATTGGGATTAATAATATGGAGGATTAAGTCATGAAAGAATAACTCTTCTCTGATGAAGATTGTCTGATGGGATCTAAACCCCCTGGAAAAAAACAGCAAATGGATTTTGTGTTTAGGTTTGCAACTAAT